TCTATTTTTCCGTTCAAAACAGGTATCAACTAGATATTGAAACTCCATGAATAGAGATTCCTTAGATATTAAGTAGACGTAAATTGCTACTAGGGTATCAGTGAGGCAAGTATTCCACTTCAGATGAATTACTTGAAAATATATATATATAACGGAAAATGCTTACTTTCCTCCGACAGCTTGTTCTTTCAGGTCATCGACGAGCTTCTCCGTGGCCTCCAATATCATCTTCCGCTCCAATAGAAGAGCCTCCTTCTTGGTGATCTTGACTTCGAGCGCCTCAATCTTTTCGGTCATTTGCTGGACAGTCAGATCATTGCCTTCCAGCAGGCGAAGACGTCCGGCAGGTTTGAATGGTAGCTCAACAGCATCTTCCTCCTCCTCCTCCTTGGGGATCGGATCTTTAGCGGCGTCGTCTGTGCTTCGGATTGCGAAAACTTGATTTGGCGGCGGCAATGGTGGCAGGATCCTCTGTCCGGCTTTCGGATCGAGGAGAGGGGCATTTGGGTCTTCCGCCAACGTCTCCAGTCTTTTCAAGCATTTGACGGTCAGTCCCAGCTGTAGGTGTGTGTGGGGGGGGGAGGATAAGGGAGGTCTACACTTGGGTGATAACCGGAAAATAAAATTTTGGTAGGGATTCCTTGTGGGGCCACCTGGGGAACGTGTGAAGCGCGCACCACAGGCTCACGGACACCTGATTTTAGGGGTTATGGCGGCGGGGTATGTCAGGGAAAAAACCAGATCGCAATATTTCTGTAAAACAAAAAACTTTACGAAGACAAGTTGGGTCGCGTACTCAAACCTTGGGAGAAGACACTGAAATAGGCTTTAATAGCATCGCTAACCCCCCGCCCGACCAATGGCGAACGCGTGTATGTAGGGGGAGTGTGCCCTAACCTCGGGCAAGATCATTGAGATACCTATTCTAGTGAAACACCAACACCAACTAGAAAAAAGGTTAAAGAAGTGCAAAAGTGGGTAGATTGTGGAAATCACCCTACTTAAAATTGGTAAATAAGTGGTTATTCCCGTGGTAAATTTAAAACGCCAATTTCGCTTATTATACTGACTTAATCGGTTATGGTATGCGGTGACCTTCGGAGGACCGTTTTTCAGTTCAATGCCATCATCAAAT